GAAAACTATTGCTCTCTCTCTCTCTCTCTCTCTCTCTCTCTCTCTCTCTCTCTCTCTCTGTCTCTCTCTCTCTCTCTCTCTCTCTCTCTCCATGAGACTGCATCTGCACATCATTGTGTATGTGTGCTGTTAACGAACATAGCTTAACTTGCGGTTGTTCTGGCTCCTAGCTTGATGTCAAGTCGAGCGGATACTTGGGAACCCCTTCCATGGTGTAGACACCCCAAAAAGGCTCGAAGGGTCCTATGTCAGTGGATTTCTGATCTTCATCSAGCAGCGCGAAGATGTACATTTGCATCCATCCAGGTCTTCGAGGCGTTCCCTTTTTGCTAAGAATATGTTTTACCAGTCCGGTGTTGAAAAGTCGTGCATTCTCGACCGTTGCCAGGGCATGCCCTCCGGTGGGCCAACCCACCTCTCCTACCTCCAGGTGCAGATTGGGGAACCCCTCCCTCTCCATTGCAGCGAGTGTGCTGTCCACCATAGCGTCCATCAAGTTGGTGTACTTGTGCTGTCCGTCCTCTTGGTGTTGCTCTGGCGTAGCCTGGTACAAGGCATACGAAAGGGGTATCTCGGCATTCTGAGCGACTGTTAAAAATGGATAAATATTGATCATGAAAGGGGACCCCGTGTCGGCCAGAAACTGCAGCAGCTCGCCAAGCATAGGCTTGTGCTTATCCTGAAAAGCACCCGCACTTGGAGGGTAAGAAGTGCCCATGATGCCAAAGCTAAATGGATGGGTCACCTTGATCTGCTCTTGCAGACCGAAGTGCTGTACAGCTCTGTGCACGTGCCTCATTGCAGCAACAAGCTGGGGGAGAAACTTAAGGGCGTATGGCTCATTAGCTTCGTTGCCCACCTGCGAACCACACCAACAAAGTCGATAGATTTATATATCAGCAAATAATAAATAAATAAATAAATAAATAAATAAAATGAAAATGAGAAACAGAAATAGAGCGAATAAAAGACAAATAAAAAGCAAAAATAAGAACAGTAAAACATCAGAGCAAATAAAAAACAAAACAAAACAACAAACAGTTTTCTTGTTTGGAAAAAAAAAAAAAAAAGTTTTCTTGTTTGAATTTCAAAAAAAAAGAAAAGAGGAAATTAAAACAAAACAAAAAAAAAAGATTGGAAAAAAAACGAAAAAAGGAGGGAAAAAAAGAAGGAAAAAAAATAGAGGAGAGAAGTGAAACGGGGATTTACAAGCAATGATTGAGTAAATAAATAGAGTTACTGATCAATCCTGTGTGGGGGGCAGTAGCCCAGAGTTGGTCTAACTCTACGCCAAGTCTCAGTCTACACTTCCTATGTGGTGCTCTTTCTCAGACGTTAAATTGACAAAGTAACCCAGAAAAAAAAAAAAAAAAAAAAAAAAAAAAGAAGCAAATCAACCGACTCGGGACATAGAAACAGTAGAAGGGGTTGATTATGATCAGCAAGGTCGTGCGATAATTGCAGCCAGGTACATTCAGGAAAGTGCAAATGTATGGCGCCAGTCTAACACTACCTACTTGCTTTGCTCATTCTCGGACTAGACCTCTTCATTCACTCCCTCCCCCCAGCACACACACACATACACCAATCAAACAATCAATCACCTCTTAAGCACACCACCACGGTCCAGAGATTCATTTGTAAGCAAATTCTAAACAAGTTAAAAACACACGAGTGCCTTGCTCATCCTATAAGACTGTGGCATACTATGTGAGGGACGCTGGGCCCCATTCCCAGCCTATAATGAAATGTGTCTTGCTCTTTCAAAAAAAAAAAAAAAAAAAAAAAAAAAAACCAGAAAGGAAAAGAGGGAACTGAAATGTGAGTTTCCAAACAAAATACAAGATGAAGATGAGTCCTAATGACTAAACTTTGAACATTGTTTGAGAGGAATAACCAGCAACACTGAGAGACTGAGAGTAACACATAAGAAGAACAAGAAGAAGAAACGAAGAAGAAACGAAGAAGAACAAGAAGAAGAACAAGAAGAAGAACAAGAAGAGGAAACAAAGAAGAAGAAGAAGAAGAAGAAGAAGAAGAAGAAGAAGAAGAAACGAAGAAGAAGAAGAAACGAAGAAGAAGAAGAAGAAGAAGAAGAAGAAGAAGAAGAAGAAGGAGGAGGAGGAGGAGGAGGAGGAGGAGGAGGAGGAGAAGGAGGAGGAGAAGGAAACATACCACTATTATTTTGATCTTGGTGGCAGGGACAAAAGGCTTGATATTGTCACTAATATAACCTTTCGCAGCTTCATAATCATTGGCAAGAATGGGAATTTGCTCATTTGCGATGCCGGCGACAACATGTATGTCTACGCCTGACACAGCCTGCAGAAACTTTGCGTTGTGACGGAAAATCTTTACGGCGTTGGCTTTGGAGGTCTGCAAGGTTTCCACAACCCTGTCGAATGGCAGCGGCCTGCTCGAGAGATCGATTCCAAAATTAAATCCCGCTCCGTGCTGCGCTGCATGTCCAGGTTCAACGCACGTGGACATCAACATCATGGCGGCGAGCATCGTCCCGCTCAAGAACAAGCTAATCATGTGTCTATCGACTTGGCCAAGACTCCGAGACGATTGCTCCGAGATGAAGGAGAGATCAACGGCCAGCCATCGAGGAAGGAGAAACGGCCGAAGACAGCGACCCGACTCCGATCCTCCAGAGCGCCTGAGCATCGTCATGCCTGCTGTGCAGAGGAGGGAATCGAATTTCTTCTTCTTCAGTCACTGGTTTTCTTGATGACGACAACGAAAAAGGAGGCGGCTTCGAAGCTGCGCATGAGCACAGGACACGACGACATCCACGTTCGAGAATTACCGACCAGATCAGCGTATTAAAAGAAGACGACAACATAAAAAAGATATATACTACCGGCAGTGGCACACAGCTCTACCGTAGGCACAACAGACATCCAACACCAGCTCTAGGACCACCAAGGTCAGCCAGAAAAAGATTCTGAAGAAATAAACAA